CCGCGCCCAAGTTGCTGCTTCCTCGCCCGCCGCAGCTCGCTTGTTTTGCAGCGCGCCCGCACCGCGGCTCGCCGCTTGCTCGGACAGCACTGCGGGAACCCCGCCTCTGACGGACTGCTGCCTTAACCCCGCCCGGACTGCTGCCTTAACCCGGCGGGGCCCGCCCCGCCCTCCAACACCGCTGGATTGCCGCCCCTTGCCAGATCCTGGGAGAGCTCGCTGAGTTGGCGGGCCCCCTCAGCGCCGTCCTTGTCACCCTGCGCGACGAGCTCGCGCGCGCCTGCTACAGCAACTACTTTGCGCCCGAGTTCGGACGCCCGCCCGCCGCGGCGGTCGCCGTCGCCGGTGGCGCCGCGCGCCACGAGCTGACCGGCCAAGGAGGGATAGAGGATAATCCGGAGCGCCGAATCAGGGGCGCGCTGGACGGGCTGCGGGTCGCCGACGACGGCGGCTTCGGCGGCTTCAGCGGCAGCGGCGGGGGCCTGGCGTTTGAGCAGCTGCCGTGGCACAGCGTCGCGGCGCGGCTGCGGCGGGAGAATGCGGCGCTCAGGGGGGAGCAGGAGCGGGTGGGGCGGGAGCTCGGGGACCACCAGGTGCGGCTCTCGCGAGTCAACATGATGGGGGCTGCCAAGACAGCAGCAGTGGCAGGTCGATCTTCCCTTGAAAGTCATCAAGGCTAAATCCAACACCAGTCATCGGGCCAGATTTCCGCTGCATGCAGGGGGATGGGGCGCGGTGTGAGGTCCTGAGAACTCTGGCCTGCGCCGCCCGCCGGTTTGCTGAGCCTTGTGCGGCGCCGCGGCGGGAGCGTGTGGCACCAGCGGCAGTGATCGTGTGTTTATTGCAGGCGCAACGAGCGCAAGCGTGCGAAAGGGCGCGCTGCAGCACGATTCGACGTGTCATCAGGGCCCACGTCATGGTGATGTCATGTTCTCTCGATAATCATCATCACGGCCCCTCAGGCGGAGCTGGTCAGGGTGGAGCAGCAGCTGCAGCTGTTCCAAAAGGCGATGGACGCCGCAGAGGAGGGCGCGGCCGCGCTGCGCGCCGCTAACGCGGCGCTCGCGGCGTCCGAGGCAAGGGCCGCGAGCGACGTGGCGGCGGGCGCGGCGGAGGCGCGGCGGCTGGCTGGGCAGGTGCGCCGCGGCCGGGCCTCACGCGGCTGCCGGGGCTCCGCTGATGCGCCGTGCTGGTCGCGCGGCCCCTGATGTCTGCATTGACATCCGTTTGCGGTGAAGGTCTGCCCGCCCATTTGACGGATGCGGCTTGTGCTGGTGGTAGGCCGGCCAGTCCTGTGTCCTGTGTTGATTTAAAACCAGTCGGCGGCCGTAGCACTGTGCCTGTGCATTGGGCGTTATGACACGTTCACTTGCATTCGGTGCCTTACTCGTTACACCCTGGTAACCCCCCTGCCCACCCAAAAACGAGCCAGGTGTCTCGCCTGCAGGCTGAACTAGCGGAGCTGCGTGAGGCAAACACGGCCCTGACGGTGCGCGCGCGCTTGTGTGTGTGTGTATGTGTGTTTGCGTATTTGTGTGTGCACGCGCACGTGTGTCTGTGTGCACCTGCATACATGCAGCGTGATTGCACATGTGTATGTGCAAGGCTGTCCGTAGCGGCAAGGTTTTAGGAGCGCGCGCGGAGCAGTCCTGCGCCCCACACAACCACTCACTGCTGCCGCCTTGGACCGCTCTGCAGGAGGCGGGCGCGTCGAGCGCCGAGGCGCTGGAGCGGCGCGCGGAGGGGCTGCAGCGGGCGCTGCATGCGGCCGAGCTGGAGCGCGCGGCGGCGGTGGAACTTGCGGCGGCCAGGGTGGCGCCGGAGGAGGCCCGGGACCTGCACGCTGCGGCGGAGGTGGGTGCAGCGGCAGCGGGAGGGGTAGGGGAGCGGTGGCGGGAAATGGAGGCACGCGTATGCGCGATACGGGCGAGGGGCGTTGTGGGGTCGGCCGTTGAGCAACAAGGGAGCGGGGTTTCAGGAGGATGCGGTGCCCGCTGGCCGTGGCGGTTGCAAGCAGAGCAGGGAGCCGGTCAGCGCCCATAGAGAGTGTGATTCCCCCAAAACACGCGTTTCGAGGAGAGAGGGATGGCCCGTCGATGCGCGTGCGTGCTTGTGGGCCGGCGCTAGCTGCAGTGGCCAATTGTAGTGGAACCAAAATCGAACAAGGTGAACAAAAACCCACCCGCTCGCTGCAGGACGCCGAGGCGCGCCTGGCCGCGGCTCAGCAGGCGCTCGCCGCGGCCGAGGCGCGCGGCGCGGCGGCCGCCGAGGCCGCGCGGGCGCTGACGCCGCGGCCGCGCTGGGACGAGCCGGAGGGGCCGGAGGGGCGCGCCGCGGCGCCGGGGGGCGGCGGCGGCGGCGGCGGCGGCGGCAGCAGTGACGACGAGGTGCGCCTGCGTCCGTGCGTGGTTGCGTGTGCGCGTGGGGCGGCGGGACGGGTTTCTTTGACAATGGATGTGCAGCGGGGTGTGGGCCAGCAATGATGCTGACGGCGTAGCGGCCGGCAATCCGGCTGCTGGAGGGCCGGCGCGCCGGCCGCCGGCTGGCCGATCCCCCGGCAGCCGGGCCGTCGGCCGCCGCGCCGTCAGCGTTGTTGTTGCAGGGCGCCGGCTTACGTTGCCGATGAGGGGAAATGTGGCGCCGCAACACCCTTGAGCTGCGGCTCAGGGGAGAGGCAGCACCGTATGTTGTCTGCGCTCACGCGCGGCGCCTCAACACCCCAACTCCCCTGCACATTTACTCAACTCCCCTGCACCCATGTGACATACACCCACCCCACACCAGGATGCCGACGAACCCGGCAGCCCACCTTCCACCGCCGCCCGCGTGCGCCGCCTCATGGCGGCCCGCGCCCACGAGCGCCGCCGCGCAGCTCGCGCGCTGCGCGCCGCGTGCGCCTTCGCGGCGCCCGACGCGCCGCCGGCGCGGTGGCGGCTGCTCGTGTCCGTCGAGTCATCGCGGTACTTTCTGACAGAGGGGGCCGCGCTGCCGCCGCCGGCCGGCGGCGCCGCCGCCGCTGCGC